GTTCCTTTTTGGTAAGCCACCCCGAAATGGTACTAGACATAGATCATACTACTTAGTAGCCCCCTGTGCTGTGCGACTTTGCTTCCGGACATTTACCTGGCCATGGCAGCTCTTTTTGGTATCTAGCCACCACTATGATGGTTGCAGACACACGTCGCATGTATCAGTAGCCCCTGTGCAATTTTCCCCCGAACGCTTACCAGCATTGAAACTGGAAAGAGAAGACGTGGCCGGCTCGGTTTGCTTGCACAGGGGGGTAAACTTTGTAATCCCAAATTTCACCCTCTAAAAGAAAAAATGGAACAAACCATGCCCAGAGCCCCAAAAACACAGGAGGCTGGACATGGATGTTTGTTTGTGGCAGAATGCGCAGCACGTGGCAGAGTTTTGGTTGCCCAGGATAGCTCGCCATACTATGAAGTGCAGTGCTGCCCGGCAGATGCGACTTATTGTGCTGGCTGCGCCAAATTGAATTCAGGCGGGAAGGGTTAACTCTGGAGGGGCGCTGAGATGCTTCTCGGCGAAGAAGGTAGAAGCGGGGCACTCCACCCAATGTAGTCAAGTGCGGCATATAAATTACATATATATATATACACATGTTATGTGTATATATATATATATATGTACATTTGTACTTATATATGTTCTACATATGTGTGTCCTTGACTTCGTGTCTAGCGCAAGCAATCACAGTACATGTAATGCAGCGTGATGCAGTGCAACGCGATTCAATACAATGTAATGTAATGCATAATAAAATGAAACATAATGTAATGTGAGTTGCTATTCCAAGTGGTGACGAGGTGTCATCCAGGCCAACATGAAACCTGCCGAACATTTGCCGGTGAATTGTCAGAATTTGTGCCGTGAATTCTTTCGTCATGCCTCGTATATTTGCTTGTTCGCCCCGGCAGGGGGAACTTCCTGTGCCACGTGCCGTTGGGGCTACGTGATGCGTAGCAACAAATGTGTGGCGCGACTCGGCCCAAGTTTTGTCGCTTCGCTCCTTCCACAAAAATCCAGGGCCAAAGGCCCGCTTCAGGGTGCGGCGTCTGAGGTTTCATCTTATGGCCTTTGCCACAGCAGCTCTACAGCCCTCAAAGCAAGTTGTACAAGAACTGGAAAACCAAAGAGTCGCCTTCTGGCTGAACCAGAGTAGGCTGGGAGCATTCTGCAGGAAGCCGCTTCGCAACTCCTATGAGCACTACGGTCTGATTGCGCCCCTCATGCTGGTCTCCATTCTCTCCTTGGCCATCTTCAGCCAATTGTCCTGTTTCTCGCCCCTGTTGCTGTGCGTGTTGCCCTTTCAGACCAATGCTGAACCACTCGATGAGGCGTACCCCAGAAAATACACATGGGACCCCTGCTTCCACATGCGTTCTTGCTTGGGGTATGTCAAGTAGACCGTGAGCCCTTAAAGCGCTTGCGTACCTTAAGCTCCCTACCCCAGCAGTTTTCGAATTGAGTCTCTAAAGAGAAGCCCTCCTCTTTTTGTCTCACTCTTTGATACTGTACCATTTTTTCTCACTTGGATTTCAATGTAGGGGTGGATGTATTTTATGCAGGAATGCGGAACACGGTTTCTTGTTGTGGCATGATGAGGAATGTTTTGCAGGATCAGTCGGGGTCTTGAAGGCTTACCCCGTTTTCAGGTACGTTATTATGACATATACGCCGAAGGGCTTTTTCTCACAATGGTGGACTCCCATTTTTTGATTGTTTTAACTGAACATGTCGCCTGGAGGGCGAATGGGCGTTCAGTCGGAACCCCCTGAAAGCCGGAAGATCTGTCAAGGCCCGGGTCCGTTTTTGTGCTTACAGCGAAAACAGTCCGTTTGTTTTAGCTGCTTTAACTCATCTATCTTGCGGGAGCTGCGGCATGCATGCCATGGCCCAGCCATGGCCCAGCCATGGCCTTTGGTCTCAGGTGCGTTGACCTGCCCTGGGAGAACTCGCAGGGACAAAACTGCCACGCAGCCTCCTGCTCAAACTCCAGGCTGGAAATCGCTATGAGTTCGACAACAACGGTCATGGGAAGTAGCCTTCCAGCTGGCAAAACACAGCTTGTTAATCAGCACACAGGCAGCCAAGGGCAAGGGCAAAACTTACGACAACAATCATAAAGCAAACACTGATGTGTCCACTTCCGCAGTTCAGACTTTTGGATTTTGTGCTGAACCGTTGTGATGTTCGAGATCCGACCAACTTGGCCAGCGCACTCCAACCTCCAAAAGCGCTTGCCACAAAAAGGACCCGAGACATGAAACAAAACAGATGCTCCCGACACATTTGTTGAATGATCGGGGAAGACCAGGGGTAGCACGCGCAGTAGAGTTGTCAGCTCCAGGTCTAAGATCGCAACTTGTGCAGTACAAGTGTAGCATGCGAAGCACACTGTGGTGGCCATGTGCACAGGGATGCCAGCTGAGCTGCAGTTCAATGAGACAAAATATGCCCAGATCCTCAAACATGTGTGTCTTTGATGCAGGGGCAAACTGTGTTTATCAAGTTGTCAGGCGACACTTTGTTGGACCCTAGTTGCACAGTTGACAAACCATAGACAACCGTAGACTGAAAGGACTTTTTGTTGTGGAACGCACGCATGCTCGCCCTTTCAGGGTCAGTTCAGCACCAACTTTTGAGATCTATTTCACAATTGCTGTTTCGCACCTGTGGTGGCTTACTCTGGGGCCACATGACAGGTTAGACTGGCATGAGCCCATGCGCGGCCATTAGGCTAAAATGTCCCGTCTCTAGTGACCTGCGCGTTTTATTGCGCTGCCAGCCCAATGAATTGTGCCCATTTGAAGTGAAGATGGAAAACGACCCTCCCCCTCCCCCGCATTTCCAAAGAAATGTATTCTATTTACCTCGGCCATTTACAAATTTGTTTTACGTGTACTGAACAATTGCGATGTCCAAGTGTGCTTCGCGGGTTTCACGTCTGAAAAGCTGGTGGTCTCCCAGTTTGCAAAACGATAGAACAAAAGGAAGACACATTGTTGAGGGTACCGGTTTTAAAGGGAAGCCAAAAAAAGGAAAACAACCCATTTTGGCGGGGGAAATGCCCTAAAATCGAAAACACATTCCGGGACAAGCAACAAGACACAAACACCACCCCAAGTCAGGCACCTGCCCACCGGTGGGAACTGGACCCCTGTTCATGTTCCGTTCACATAGGCCAAGAAACGTGGGCTGAAAACATGACTGGTCTTTGATGTGATCAAATCACCCCTTAGACCTTGTGGAAGTGCACGGCTCTTCCAGCACGGAAAAGGTCGGACCAGCAAACCCAGTCTTTTCAGCTTACAGGGGAACCAGTAAAGATTGGGGCTCCCATCATGCTGTGACTGTTCTTCAAAAGAGGTTGCGTGTTTCCTTGAGTCATTACAACCTTCACAACCAGCAACCTATTTGTTTCAGCTTGATTTACACGCACAGTTCTGAATTCTGAACAATGAGGCAGACAAAGGAGCATAGGTGTCCTTTTTGGTTGGTTTGCTAAAAAATAGAGGGCGATTCCTGGTTTAGATGGGGTTCATGCCCCATTTACCAGGGAAACCCATCGATTTTGTCCAAGAGGCCACCTATGAAAGGGAGGCTCTCGCAAGGCAATCGGGTTTCAGCTCCAACACCGCCTGCTGCAAATGCGGCGGCGGCCAGGGCGCGGCCACGCCGTAGCGAGACGAAAGCTGAGATGAAAGGGGGGGGGGCTGGTTTGAGGGCACTGGCCCATTTTGGGCCCCAGAAGAGTTTTTCTGTTTGTTGGTTTTGCTTTTTTGGGGTCCCTTTGTTTTCTACTAACCGGGCAAATATATATATATATATTGTTGCTTTGGGGGCCTACTTCCAGCCTAGTTTTGGGCCTCCTTCTCTACTGCTATTGAATTGGATCTTTAGACTTAACTTTTTGGATACCCCTCATATGTCCTTTTAACCCGCAAAATAGTGAGATCACAGCAAAGGAGCCTTTTACAAACAAACAGAAACGAGCCTTTTACAAACAAACAGGAAACAGTTGCCATTCCTTTTGAGACAAGCCCAGATGCCTTTGTGCGGCCAAAGGAGACACCAAGATGGGCCCCTCTACTCACCAAAAAGGTTCGCAGAACTCAAAGAATCACTGAGAAGGTGTCAAGAGCGGCTTAAGTTTTTCCGAGGTTGGGCTTTGCTTTTTGGGAGCGTCCTTGTGAAAAGGGAGACCATTTTCGTGGCGCGCGCCCCTGCGGCGCCAGCGCGAAGAACTTCTCAGGGAACCCCTCAAAGACACAGGTGGGCCTGCCAAATCAGAGGGGGGGGTTGAAAAAATGGGGCACACCAAACCAAATCCATGAACATAGCTGGTGATAAATGGGGTGCGGTGTCCTTGTCCAGTAAAGGAACCACCGGTTTTGTCACACCAGGCGTTTCTCAGCACGGCTGGTTGCCGACTGTGGAGCAAGGAGTGCCATCCTTGGTATCCCTGATTTGCATGATGTTTTATTTGCCAGCATTGCCCTATAGTCGGGAGTTGCACTTGATTCAATCAGTTGAGAGTGGGTCAAGCACCGTTCCTCGCTGTCACTGCATTGCAAAAAGCTGCTTGTGGCGGTTTGAACATCCTGAAGCCTGCAGCCCTGCTTGTCCAGTCAACCACCTACGGTATGTCAAGGAAGTCAAGCAGTGTTTGATCCCCTGCCTGGGCAACGCAACAATTCAGCAACAAGTTGCTACCGTGAACAGAGAACAGGCAACATGTTGCCACTTTGCCACTCCGCCAAGTGGCGCAGCATTTTCCCTAGAACTTGACGTTGAAAGATGCTCTCAGGTTTGAGTACTACGTGGGGCCGATGGCCATCGGCAACAGCCAGGTCGTGGGCCACCCAATTCCCCGCACGGCCAGCCAGTATGCAGTTGACAAGGATCGACATGGCCGTGGGTCAACACCAATGGGATCCCATTTTCGGGTAGGTGCACTAGTCTATTTTAGTGGGGATTGGGATGTTCACTGGGGGTACGGGGTTTTGACCCATAGCCACACGGGTTTTGGTCAGGTGGAATTGCCACCGCCCTGAATTGTCTAACTCAACTTGTTGCGAGGTCTCCGACGGGCGCTTGGTGACTTGGACTGCGTGATGCTATGAACAAGCATATTTGACCACAGTGGTTCTTCTTAAGTTGGTTGGTTAGGAATAGCTGGCACTGGCTTACATTGGGTTTCGGCCCCATTTACCAGGGCCCTCTACTTGTCCAAAAGGTCGCATGGATTTGACTAGCTCCTTCGTACCTGACACTCTCGCGAGGGATTCTAGCAGGTTCTAGATGTGCCGGCGAGCGAGCCGGGCCATATGTGAAGCTTGATACAAGCTTCACTGGGCATGTTGGGTGGCTTTACCCTCGCAATTGCTTTTTGCAGTTTAGCGGCAAATGGCCTATGCGCCAGGGGTTCATTGTGCTAACAACGTCTAGACACGTGGGTATGTCGTTGAGGGTACTCGTTTGCGGGTGGCTCCAAGAAGCACAAAAAACAAAGTAACATTTCAGGTGTGCCCCATTTTCAGACATGCCCCTGATACAGAGGCCTGATAATGTTTGAGCTGGCTGCTTTGGTTTGGCCATCAGCTCGGCGATTTCGCTTGCTGCCTTGCCTACTTTTCTTGGAATGACTGTACGGGAAGCTCCGTTGGTCTCCCGATGCGGATGGATGGACATTTGCCCTCCCATCCACATGGAATCTGAGGTTTCTTTCGAGGTCCTCCGAAACTGTTTTCTTTGAAAGGGACCATTTCTCTGGTGGGTTTCCACGAGGACAACATGGCATGATGGGCGGATAATTCTAGTGACGATTCTGTGGTGTAGCGACATAACGACGCTTTTGCTTCAGGACTGCGAGATGGCAAAGTTTGGGCTCCGCATCGATCCTACGACCGGCAAGCTGGAGCGGACTGCAGGGTGCCGTGGACCCGTGAGACCCTTCTACTGGTTTCCCGAAACAGGGGCAGAGACGCCAGCAAGGTCAGCTGTCCTTTTTGGGTTAGTTTGGTTAGTTTGATGATTGGCAGATGGCACTGGTTCAGAATTGTGTTATTCCGTTTCCCAGGGCCATGTTTTTTTTCCAGGTTCACCTATGGCAAGGTCCGCTGTTTAAAAACGGATGCGTTTCAACTTGAGTTGGACCCTTTTGGCCTTACCGAATATGTTCATTTTAAGGCTATGGAACAACACGAGCCGAAGAGCGCGATTGGTTTTACACAGTGAGCCATCCTGACCCCCGTCAGGGGATGGAACAGCATATTGAGCCCCAATGAATGCAAATCGCTCACGGCGGCCTCGGCCTGCTTTCTGGTTTGACAGACTTATGGTTTTTCCTTCGAACCTACAAAAGGTTCCTTTTGTGAGCGGGGATGATCAACCCAGTGGTCTTGCAAAACCTCAACACGCTTCTTGGCACGTTGAAGATTAAGGAGCAGAGAAAGGGACCGGCATGTTGGGATTTACTTGTAACTTGTAACGTCATGCTCGGACTGGCGACCTTTGGAGTTTGACTAAGAACGCTCGCCAAAATAATCAAACCGACTGCACTGACACACATCGACATGTTGGTCGTCAATGTTGGCTGGGCATGTGGTTCGATAAAGAGCGACAATCATGCCTGTCAAAGGAGCTTGCAATACTAGGCCTTGCACGATGGATGTAGCAAGGCTGCCTGGTACATGGATTTGCTTTATCACTTCTGATTCTGATAATTGACACCCTCCCCCAAAGGAATTTGGCTTCTTGTGCCAATTGTGTTGGCGTTCGACATGAACGAGCGCAATTTTGTCAAGAAAGTTTAACAGTGTTAAGACCCCATATAACTTTCGCTCAACTTGGTTGTTTCGCCAGGTTGGTTGTTTGGTCGAAACGAGACTTAGCTGTGTATGTCATGGCTTTACTTTGCTGGCCATTCAAAATCCCATGGGCCGTTTTCGCAGGATGAGAGTTTCTTGATTGCGTTGCTGGCTAAGGCATGCACAGGGGCTCCAGGTGTGCTCGCACAGGACTGCATCGCGCCCCAAGTTTCTCTCCCAAAAGTCGGCCAGACCTCCCTCTCAAGGAGAGCCCCTTTGCGAGGGCCTCTCCGAAAGCAGGGCTTGGTGGAACTGGGCCTTAAGGAGAGATTTTCGTGCTTCGCAGCCAGCCAAGCCGCTCAGCGCAACTCGCCGAGATTGCTCGCCGAGATCCTGACTTTTGGGAGAGCCCCTCGCAGAGGAACTCGCCGAAAATTATTAAGCCTGCCCGTTGGATTTCTCGCCGAAAACTTTGTGGCCTGGCAGCCAAATTCCTCGCCGAAAGAATTGCTGATCATTGCAGATCCGCCGCCTGCGTTCCTCACTGAGCTTTGCCTGATCGACAGCCAGGTCCATCCCGCAGTTGCGAGCACACCTGGAGCCCCTGTGCATGCCTTAGCCAGCAACTCAATCAAGAAACTCTCATCCTGCGAAAACGGCCCATGGGATTTTGAATGGCCAGCAAAGTAAAGCCATGACATACACAGCTAAGTCTCGTTTCGACCAAACAACCAACCTGGCGAAACAACCAAGTTGAGCGAAAGTTTTATCCCCGTATTTCTTTCAGATGTCTTCCCGGGGTGACCTTTGTTGCAATCGACAGCCCGACACTGGCTGCCGCTCAGTGCATCCGACCGGCCGAGTCCAGTTTGCATGACATCTTTGTTCATGTTGACCCCGGCTCGAACTGGATTCCGTCCTCGGGAGGTGTCGGCCCGCAGAAAAGCTACTGAGGTCAAGCAATCAGGGATTTACTTAGATCCTGGGTGCCTATTAGGGTCCTGAATAAGCCTCCCTTCACAATTCGTTTCCAGGCCTTGGACATCCTCAAAACCCTCCGCCCCCTGTGTTACTTTTTGTTGCACATTGACCTATTCACACACTCCGCTGACATGATGGCTCAAGGCCCTTCAAGTCATTTGTACAGTCATTCGACTCACGGTACATTGATAAAAAGGCTTGCAGACCGCTTTACAGGAATCACAGTTAACACAAGCCACCAGGGACAATCCATCCTCCAATCCTCCATATTGGCATATTGGACTCTCTCCGGAATAGATCCAGGGACCAAATCAACGACGTCTACTACCACAGGGTACCAGTTTTCTTCTGAGATAGGCACCCCGGCAGTGGGCCTCAATTTGTGGTAGCGGAGCGGGTTTTCCGCAGAGATCCAAGGGAAAATGTCATCCGATGGAGAAGGCTTGATGGAAGCCTATTCAAGTATGGCCAAACCACCCGACTATACGGAGGAAACACTCAATTTATCGATGACCGCCAAGCAGCCGCCATCGTACGACGGAAAAGTCAGCTGGTTTGGGTATGAAGAACTCGTGGACGACTGGGTGACCATCACTACGGTGGAAGCACCCAAGAGAGGACCTCTGCTCAAAAGCAGACTCACTGGAGATGCCTATATGTACAAGGCAGTCCTCCAAAATGACTTTTTGCAAGATCCTGATGAAGGAGTCAACTACTTCAAGAACACGCTGAAGAAGTACTTTTTGAAAGGTGCGACCAATGTGTATCTGTACAGGCTCCTCAGTTTCTTCAATCATAGAAGGCAGAACCAAGAGTTCCTCATTTTTACCTCAAAATTCGAAATCCTTCTCATGAGATTGAAGGCAGCATGGATGGACTTGATGCCCGTTTTCACGGCACAGTCCCCATCATTTCGACAGTCCGTACAGGACGCAAATGCAAGAACAATAGCTCGACATCAGCAAGCAGCTGATACTCGAGCACCGCCTCCAGTCCTGCTCAATGAGGAAGACCCTACACTCCTCAGACAGTATATCACAGGAATGCAGGATAGACTGCGGGACGCATTTCCCTTCGTGGATAATCTCATTGCGCAGTTTTTGATTATCCAGAGTGACTTGTCAGATCAGCAGAGAGAAAGACTGACCAGTGCAATGACACTGAGAAACATTTCCCTGGAGAACTACTCCTATGAGATGCTGAAGACGCATTACCATGAACTCTTCATTACGACAAGAACATCCATCCAAGATCCATCCATCAGACCTCAAGGAGGCAACCGAAGCAACACATTCTTCATCCTCGAACAAGGAGAACACGAAGGAGAAGAAGGCTTCTGGGTGGAAGACGAAGATGGACTTGAAGGATTCATGTCAAACAACGATGAAGAGACATTCTGGGTCCTCGAAGAGAACGATGCGTTCATAGCAAGAAAAGTCACCAACGAGGTGGCTTCAAACCCTTTCGAAAAAGCGGTTCTGGCGGGAAGGCCAATATGGCCAATGAAAACTATGATCCCTACGACCAGGCATATTGGGGAAAAGGCAAAGGAAAGAATGGAAAGAAAGGAAAATCAAAATTCCAATATCCCTATGATGGAAACAAGGGTTATCCAACCTATGAGAGTGGCAAAGGAAAGGGCGGACATGACAAAGGAAAATCCAAGACGTTCGCAGCCATCGCAGAGAAGACGGAGGAGCAGCCCGCCATCCAGCAGACTGCGCCATCCACAGAGCCTACATATGCCGGATGGACAGACCAAGATGGGGATCAATCATGGACATGGAACGAACAAGGCTGGTGCTCATCCCATGAGACATCCAGCACAGGACAAGCGCTAACGGCATTCCATGACGCATGTGAGCATCATGAGAAAGAGGCCATCCACGGGAAGCTGATCCAACCAGATGCAGTTTCAGAACACAATTTGTCCGTCGCAACAGATCACAGACTTTTGGCAACCAAGCTGATGGCGCCTGTCATCAACCCTCAGCACAATCCGACCATGCGATTCTGGACAATGGATGTACCAGATTTATGGGCAGCTGGCATGCAATCCAGCGTTTTACTCAGGCCATCGAACCCATGAAAAACCTCATCTCTTATCAGTACATCCCGGCCGAGACCAAGTTCACTTTTGCAAACGGAGAAACAGCCAAGGTAAATTGGACCTTGCATCTCCGATATCACACAACTCCTCCACGCAGTACCAACATCGACGTCCTTGAACAAGGAACTGTACCGATCCTCCTCAGCATCAGTCAGATGCGTAACCTACACATGACCATCAAGCACACACCTCAATCTGACAAGATCACACGCAAGGCTTTTGGCATGAACCGTCAAGCAGTTCCAGTATCCGGTACAGGACATGCGCTCGTCGACCTCGCGGGAGTTGCAAGAGTGAAAGCACATGGAGAAATTGCCATCAAGGGCCTCACCAACTACGTCTACGATGATGACAACAGCATCAGGTTTCCTTCCGAGGATATCTCCAAGAGTGAAACTGTTTGTGCGTCCAAATCATCCGAGACGAAGGAGGACCTAGCAACTCCAAAAATCATTGGGTCTCAAAAACAGGACCTGACAAGAAGAACAAGCAGCTCATCCGTGTGCACATGACGCCTCGCAAGGCGTTGTTCACACCAAATGGAGCCAAGGAATGTCCAAGCAATCCTGATAATATCAGCCGAGAGCGTACTACGGAAATCATTGATGCATCCGAAGGTGGAGAACCAGACATCCTAGAAGACAATTGGAGACTTACATCCCAGGCAAACAAACCATTGATTAACCTGTGGATAGGTAAGACGATTTTCACCTTCGCGGACAATTCGCTTAAGGACGAAGAAGCAGGTTCAGGATCGGCAGCAGACAGGATCATCGACAAGAAGGGCCGGTCGACCATTGAGCCAGATCCTTCCGCACCATCATCAGAAGAACCAACGACGCTTCCGCTTGCACTAGGCAGAATCCACAAGCGATTGTCAAGTCCCGAAGAGTTGAAGAAGCTCCACCTCCAGCATCACCATATGACAACAGATCAATTTCGATTTACAACTCGCTCGCTTCACCTGCCAAAATCAACATTTGATCTATTTGACAAAATCCGAAGTGAATGTGAAGTTTGCCAAGCGGCAA